GCACCAGGAGGGTAGGAGTTGGGGTGTTTTTTGATGTCTCCTCTCTCCGCAGTCACCCTCACCCCCTCGTGATGGATGACACAGACTGTCACTACTAATGGCTTCTGTGGCGTCCTCAGAACTAATGAAGCTGCTGACAATTCAGTAAATGAGTCGGCACCACTTTATCCCTCTCCCCACCCCCAGCCCCTCCACCAGGGGCAGGGAGCAGGCCACAGGCTGCGGGGTGGCTCACCGGCTCTGGGGACATGCAATGGGGCGGCGGATGGAGCCTGTCACTGGAGCTGGGCAAGGGAGTGGGGGGAGAGACGGGGGAGGCACAGGGTGAAGGAGGAGAGGAAAATATGTAGAGAGGGAGTTGGTGAGAAAGGTGGAGAAAGGCGGGCAGAGATTGGGAGCGAGGGGAAGGGATACCTGGGGGTAGGGGGCGAAGTTAGGGCCCCCCTCTGCACCAGACCCTGGGTAGGAAGCCCCAGGCTGAGGAGACTACAGTTTGGATGGAGAGGGAGACAGATCTATCCATTATTTTCATTGTCAAAAGCAGCCTATGACACAAGCTTTATTGTTCCCCTTTTACAGTCAGGCTCAGAGAGGTCAGGCAACTTTCCCAAGGTCACACAGCTGAGAAAGGCACGTGAAATGCAAACCCAGAGCAGCGTGACTCCGGAATCCAGGCTCTTTCCCACTATCCCTGGTCCACGAATATGTGGAAAGGGAAGAACAGGTTACTCTGGGTTTATCTGATTTGCCCTGTTCATGGAATTACTTGGTTGGGGGTGGAGGTGCCACAGCCTCCTTGTGTCTGGACGATGGACTTCAAGAAGGCCTCTGGCAAAACCTCTCCTGATGTCCTGTGGACACAAGGTGATGTGTAGGGAAATGGCTCAATGGCTGGAAGGATTCCTAATTAGATGGGGCAGATTCTAATGATGGTCGATGGCAGAACCGAGCGAGCCTGCCAGTGCGAGGCAGTGACGGTGGACTGTGGGGCTGTCTTTGGTTCTGTTCTGTTAACATTTTTTTAATTACCCAAGTCACATATGTCTGCTGTAGAAATATACAAACTATAGGTCAGCAAAAAGGAAGAAAAGAACAGCCTAAATCTCACAAACAACACTCACTGAACCGTCTTTTCCACTTGCTGTAACTTTGAAATTTTCATAATAAAATGTTGGGGATAGATATCCCACCACAAAAGGTAAATCCACTGTTCACATTTACCTGCCCATCTCTTTAAAACATTTTTATTGAGGTGACATTGGTCAATAAAATTATATACTAGTAGGTCTCAAGTGTGCAATTCTATCTGCCAATCTCTTTATTGCAAATAATATCAATGAAAGGTAGCATTTTATTGGGCACTTACAATGAGCTGAGCACTTACAATGAGCTGGCAATGGTGCTGAGCATCTTACAGGCGTCATATCATTAAATCCTCATAACCCTTTGCAAGGACTTTTATGATCTACTTTTCACATGACACAGCTGAGGCTCAGAGATGAAGTAACTGGCTCCGGCCACAGACGCTGGGTGAGCGGCTAACGCCGAGTTTGAACCAGGATTTGTCTGACTCCAGAGCTGAACTCTGAGCAGCTATGGGATCCTGTGCTCCCTAAAGTGAGCCTAGACCTCCCCCCCGCCCCCCGAATCAGCCCCACCCACTCCACCCCTCCAGGGATGACCAGAACTTAAAGAGATGGGCAGGTAAATGTGAACAGTGGATTTACCTTTTGTGGTGGGATATCTATCCCCAACATTTTATTATGAAAATTTCAAAGTTACAGCAAGTGGAAAAGACGGTTCAGTGAGTGTTGTTTGTGAGATTTAGGCTGTTTTTTTCTTCCTTTCTTCACGCTGCTTCCCTGCTGCTTGGCTCACACCCTCTGGGGTCATGTCCCAGGATGTGACCTAGCAGAAGACATAGGTCCCAGTAAAGTTTGAGATTCTCTGTGGGAATCAATGCGAAAAAGTATCCTCAGGTGAGGATTAAATGAAAGAAGAAAAAGAAAAAAGAAAGCCGAACCACAGTATATACAGTATATCCCATTTTATGTTATTTTTAAAAAATATATGTTTATTGATTTTAAAGAGAAAGGGAGAGGGAGAGAGAGACAGAAACATCAGTGATGAGAGAGAATCATTGATTGGCTGCCTCCTGCACACCCCCTACTGTGGACCGAGCTTGCAACCCGGGCATGTGCCCTTGGCCAGAATTAAACCTGGGACCTTTCATGTCTCTCACAGGCCGACACTCTATCCACTGAGCCAAACTGGCTAGGGATGTACACTTGTCTGTATCCGGTGACCCCAGGGGTCTTGGGTGTTCCTTTCCTAGTCTCCGCCCTCACTCCATCCTCAACACTGCCCAATGGCCATCACCCTGTCCTGAAGGTGGGCAGGGGAGAGGGGCCACTGTCACTTTCATTTAGCCCACCTGCAGGTAAGCACTTGGTGCCTCCCGAAGCAGGGCTCCAGGACAAGTCCTAGGAACGTATGAAGATGAGGGAGAACCAACCATCACTGTTCCGGACATGGCCATACTGTTTAGAAATCACATCCGATTGTCACAACGTCCGGAGAGGACCCAGAAGATGAAATCTGTTGTTTGCAAAGGAGAGAGATGAAAGCTATAGGTTCAGTTGACATTGCGAAGTGCCTGTCATCTCTTAGGCAGTGACAAAGCTGTTTACAAAACTATAAATGGCCTCAGCACTTGAGTCAATCCCCAGATCCACCATCTGTCTGTGGGGGCTGGGGCCTGACCAGGACAGTGGCCAGAACAGGTCCCACCCGGCTATAGTCCTGTGGGAGCTCAGACCCTTCCAACTGCGGTTGGAGCCTAGCGCCCCCTGCTGGTACGCTGCCGCCTCTGCTGAACCCAGGACCAGAGAAAGGCAGGAGCTGGCGGAGACAGAACCATCTCCATATTTGCTTTGTGGAAAGTAAGTGGTCAGGTGAAGCACATTGTTCTTGTTGCCGGAAATCAGAATCGAGAGGAACAAGCAGAACCGATGGTTCCTGGCTACCTTGAGGAAAATCAAAGCTCAGTTCCTGTGGCATCACCTCCACTCCTCACTCCTCCTACCCCAAACTCCTCTCCTAACGCACACTTTCCATGTCTTGATCTGGGACAGCAGACATTCAGGGTGAGAGGTCCTTTGCTTCCTTCTCAGGCTCTGTCTGCCATTCAGGCAGGGCCAGCTGCTGCTCCTTGGCCTGGGGTGGGGAAGGGACACAGAGCAGGGGAGACTTGCAGGCCCCTGGGGCTGGGAATCTAGGCTGGACCTTGAGTTCTAGACAGCTGTGTGGTCTTGGACAAGTGTCTTCACCTCTGTGAGCCTCATGGTTCTCAGCCCAAAAGTGGGCAATTATAGCAAAACGTTGACAGCCCCACTTAGAAAAAGAGAGTCCGGGTTTTGGAGTTAGACTTTACTTCAAACCCTGAATCTACCACTGACCAGTTATGTCAGACGTAATGGCTCTGAGCGTTAGTTTCTGAATCTGTAAAATGGGTTGTTGTAGGGACTCAGTGAGCTGATTGAATTAGGAGCACTCTGGAAAATGCAAGGCTTTACAAATGATGCTGCTTTTTATCACTCAGCCCTCTGGAATGCAGCTCTGTGGTGGCTCCAGAAACTGACACCCCCAGTTCTCCTGAACCCAGGCACATCAGTTCTAATTTACATCCTACTCTCCAGCCAGAGAGTGGGTTTCTCCATACCCGGGCCCCCACTCCTTTTCATATTTCCTAGTTACCTGAGGCACCTCCCCCATTCCCACCTTGTTCTAAGAACAGACTGGGAAGGGAGTCCTGAGTCTCATCCTTTCCCCTGGTCTCAGAACCACAGCCTCAATCTTCTGCCCTGAAAGAATTCTTTTGATGCTTTGGGCTAATCCTTGGGAAGGGGTGCTGCCACCAGGACCTCATTCACCCTGAGGTCCCAGAACCCCGTCCTCCTTGGACCAAGCCTGCTCTTGGTGTCCAATGGCAGATGGGGGCCCACAGGAGACTCACTGTAGTTCCCTTCTACCCGTTACACTGCTAAGGCTGGCCCTCACAGCACTGCCCTGTCCCGCCCTGTCCCTGGCCCCAGTGAGCTGGCTGGCATTGCAGGTACCAGGGTGACCACGGGGAGGAGGGTGTGAGGGCTGGGGAGGGAAAGGGGTTGACAGAAGGCGGGGACTCTGGGGGCTGAGGACTATAAAGGGGCCAGGAGGAGAGCAGGGGACGCATCCAGCCGGAGGCAGGCACCTGCTTGGTCCAGGACTCGCTTGCTCAGGACTCAGCGTAAGTGGGCTCAGCCTGCCCCAAGGTCTGGGGGACTCCCTGGGTCTAGGGACTGGGATGGGGGCGAGAATTGATGGTTTGCAGGATGGGGGGCATCTGGAGGCCTGAGGTCCTGTGTGGGTCTGGCTCTGCATCTGGACAAACCTCGCACCCTGGAAGAGCAGTCCGTGACTGGATGCAAATGTGTGTGGGGAGTGGTTGGTGATGGCTGTGAACACAAATGTGTGAGTGCCTTTGAGCTTGTGAGTGATTGGGATCCGTGTGTGTGTGTGTGTGTGTGTGTGTGTGTGTGTGTTATGACCGTGACCTTCTGTATCTGCATGTCTCTCCCTGGTGGATGGGTAGTGGGGGTTCGGGAGGTAGTGAACCGCAGGAGCACACTCCTCCCAACCCCTTCCCTCCACCCCCAACCCCACATCTGCCTACTCAGAGCCCATCAGGCCCTGGACTTCATGCGTCCTGTGCCTCCTGCCCCCTGTCCCACCTTCTCTGCTCCCTTTTTCTACTTTGCTGAGGTCCTGGCTGAGCTCTGGCTGCTGCACTGCTACGGGAGGAGCTGTCTACACTTGCTGAGGCAGTGCCCTAGGCAGTGGGGTGTCAGGTCCCAGCGGCTCTTTGCTTCACCCTCTTGTCCCCAGGCTTGGAGAAGTAGGTGATGGGCGAGGGGCTGGGTGGGTTCTGCCTCCAATGCCCTCCACTCCTTGCTCCTCAGATGGCTGCTGCACACCGCTGCCTCTCCCTGCTGTTCCTGTCCACGTGTGTGGCTCTGTTGCTGCAGCCACCGCTGGGTGCCTCAGGGGACCCGCTGGAGCCAGTGTACCCAGGGGACAATGCCACACCAGAGCAGTTGGCCCAGTATGTGGCCGAGCTCCGCAGATACATCAACAGGGTGACCAGGCCCAGGTGTGTACAGAGGGAGGGGGAGTGGTCCCGGCTCCTGCCCCTTCCACGTTCTTGGGAAAGCAGAACCACTCTACTGGCCAGGCCTCGGCCCGTGTGCCCCTGGAGGATGGTACCCAAGGAAGGGCAGGAGGCAGGTGGGCTGGCACCTGGGCACAGTGCTGGCTAGCCCCAGCTGCCTCTCCCCTCCCAGATACGGGAAAAGAGATCAAGAAGAAACGCCGTGGAACTTCTTGGAGTGGGGAGCCCCCAACAAAGTTGCCCCCAGGTAGGTTTGGTTCCCCGCCCTGTGTGCCAGCTCCCTGGGGCTGAAATGGGGGTGGAGGTGAGTTGGGGGTTTGGGGGGAGAACAGGGGCCCAGGGCTTGCCTGAGGCCGCCTGAGGTCTGAGGACTGCCCACTCCCCCTGCCATGTGCGGGCCTCTCCCCACAGGGAGCGCAGCCAGATGGACGTGTAAGCCACCCCCGCCTCCTCCGCCTCCAAGGGCAGTGCCGGCCCAGGTCTCTCCTCCACACCCGTGGCTCTGGCCAAAGCTTGCTCCCCACTCCCACAGGCAAAATAAAGCAAATCAAAGACATTGCCTCTCTCGTGTGTCTCTGTGGACCCTGGTGCATCAGGAGTAGCCAAAGGCAGGAGAGAAAGGGGGCGGGGACGGAGGGGAAGGGAAAGAAGGGTGTTCGGAATGGACAGACCATCTATGGGGCCATCAGAGCCATTGAGCTCAGCTCCACTTCACGGAGGGGCAAGTGTGGCCCAGAGGGAGGCAGCGACTCCCCCAGGGTCACTCAGCGAGTCAGGGAAGTGGCGCTGGAGCCTGAATCTTCCATTTCAGCACCTATAGACTCTCCTGGTCATTGGCCCAATAACAGCCCAGTGCCCAAATGGACCCCCTCCCATTCTTCCCTATAGTTTAGTGTCCTTGGCATGGGGGCAGCGAGACAGCCCAGCCCAGAGGAATGACTGGAGCAAAGACAGCCACTGGCTGCAGGATGGCACCAGAGCTGCCCTCCTGTGGCCGGTCACTGTGCATGGTCCGCTGGAGCACGTAAGGGGTAGGAGGCTCAGCAGCAGCCTGGCCCACGAGGGGGACTGTGAAGGGGAGGGGTCTGGAGATGGTGTCAGGTGCAGATCGTGGGGAAAAGGAGCCTACTGTGTGCCAGGGCTACTGAACCTCACAGCACGTCTGCGAGGATGATCACTGTTATCCTCACCCTACAGAGGGGAAAGCAAGGCCGAGAGAAGTGCCGCAGTTTGTCCGAGGTCCTGCCCCAGATGGCATTCTAATAGAGGGTCTAGCTGACTCTAGCATCAGCGTTAGAGTCAGATGAGCCCGTGTTCAAACAGGAAATCTGCCACTTGCTGTCTGTGTGCTTTTGGGCAGGGATATAACCTCTCTGAGCCTCAGATTCTGCATCTGTAAAATGGACAGAATGACAGGGTTGTAGTGAGCATGACATGAAATGATGCAGGTGAAACATTAGCTGGGCCCTTGATCCGGGCCGGGAGGATGGACTGTGAGGCACACCCTGAGCTGGACAAACACACACACACACAGACACACACTCAGGAGGGTGGCACAGAGCCCTTGGTCAGCGCCCTAACCTCACTGACCTCTCCCATAGCTCCTTGCTCACCCTACTTCAGCCTCTCTTGGCAGTTCCTTTAAAATGCCAGTTCCTTTAAACCAGGGGTCCTCAAACTACGGCCCGCGGCCCACACGCAAATACACATTGGATGCTGGGAGACGGTAGACAAGCAGAACTGATGTTTCCTGGCTACCTTGAGGAAAATCAAAGCTTAGTTCCTGTGGCATCACCTCCACTCCTCACTCCTCCTACCCCAAACTCCTCTCCTAATGCACACTTTCCATGTCTTGATCTGGGACAGCAGACATTCAGGGGTGAGAGGTCCTTTGCTTCTTCTCAGGCTCTGCCTGCCATTCAGGCAGGGTCAGCTGCTGCTCCTTGGCCTGGGGTGGGGAAGGGACACAGAGCAGGGGAGACTTGCAGGCCCTGGGGTGGAGAATCTAGGCTGGAACTTGAGTCCTAGACAGCTGTGTGATTTTGGGCAAGTGTCTTCACCTCTGTGAGCCACATGGTTCTCAGCCCCCCAAAATGGGCAATTATTGCAAAACTAGTGGCCTGGTGCATGAAATTCATGCACATTGAAAAGGAATTAATTAGCAGAAATATTTTAATATTGCTATTTGCCCTTTCTCTATTATAAAAGTGTGAGAGATAAAAGGAAATGAGTACAATGTATATGAAAATAAAACATAATTTTATTAATAAAGAAGCAATAAAATGATATAACCACAACAAACTCATGATATAAAAACAACACTGATACAAATAATGACTGATAAAGTGATTAAACTTATTCTAATATCTCCCTGTATATCACATTCAGAGTAAAAACACTTTCAGAGTGCTTGACTAATTTCCCTTGGGACAAAGTATTTATAACTTTAACTTTAACATCACAGGCTCTTCGAACTTGAGAGAAAGCAACATATAATTGACCATGTGCGAAAACGGGTTCAGGTAGGAATATTCCTACTCTGTCTAGAGTTTGTCCTTGTGATTTATTAATAGTCATCGCAAATGCTGGCATCACAGGAAACTGTCGTCGAATTAATTTAAATGGGAGACCAGTGTCAGATGCGGACGAATCAGTTCTTGGAATCAGAACAACCTCTCCCTCTGCAGATCCAGTTAATACTTCAGCTTCGATAATGTTAGGTAGTAATCTTTTGATAATAAATCTGGTACCATTACAAAGACCCCATTTACTATTGAGATTTCTCAATAGCATGATGATTGCACCCACTTTCAATTTTAATTCATGACACAGCATTCCCAAAGGAGTAATACTATTAAGAAATTCGATGGGAAAATGTTCCTTTTCAGCATTATCTGTTGAGTCAATGGAATCATCACACAAATATGTGTGAAACTCTCCATCAAGTATATCCAAAATTTCTTCATTTAAGTTTTGAACATGCTCATTTTTTGGACAAAGAATTGCACGTTTAGATTTTTTTTTCAATATTATCTATAGATATACTATTTCCAAAGGTGGCTTCAATAATAGATCCGTTACAAATCATTTCATGGGAGATTTCAATAATATCCGTTCCTAAATGAAAACTGCTATCAAGTTTGCCATCCCCAAGTTTTACTAACCATTTACTATAAGCAGAATCCTCTGATCTCATATTTGTGTAAGAGACAACTTTCTGAAACATCCCCAAACCCTGCAGTACTTTAAACTCGTTTGTACTATGGCCGATCGCATAGCATGCGGTACAATACTGAGACGTTGTCGAAAATCCCCTCTGAGAAGGAGAACTTTCCCACCAAATGCAACATTCAAATTCATAATTTCTCTTAGTAATCTATCTATGGCGTTTATAGCATGACTGGATGCCATGGTGCTTTCATCAATAATAAGAAGTTGGGCCTTTTTAATGATTTTAGCAACTTTGCCCTTTATATCGAGTCTAGAAATTGAAGTTTCATTTAATGGAATTGGTAATTTATATTGGGAATGAAAGGTTCTTCCACCAAGAAGTAAATTTGCAGCAATTCCTAGACGCTGTGGGTAAAACAGTACCACCACGACCTCTAATATAATGTGTTAAAACTTTATACAGATATGTTTTTCCACTACCACCTGGACCATCCAAGAAAAAGCATTTGGGGTGTACAGTTTGATCTTCGATGGCTGAAGTTATAGTCTGAAATGCTGCCGACTGTTCATCATTCAGAGAATTTATCAAAACCTCTGCCCTTTGTTGCTCATACAATTGATCACATGTATTTGCATTCGTTAATAAAGGATAGTCCGGAAGTTTGAAATGTGAACATTTCATTCCATGCAATGTGAATACCTCCTGAATTTCGTGAAGGGCATGCGTTTCACAGTTTACACAGGCACCTTCTCTTCGGTGTAATTTCCAACAGAAATCTTCAATAAAATGAGATTTATTCTCATCCCATAATTTGTCTGCAGCAGAAGGATATCCAAACACACATATATATGCAAAAAGTTGCCATAGTTGTTTGGGCATATTAAGGATGATTGCATTGTCAATCGTATCTTTCCTGATAGTGTCATCAAGTAATAATCCCTGGTGTTTAGCAGTTTCACGAAATGTGTCATAAGTTAAACCTCCTACAGTTCGCAGAACCTCAAAACTTACCGCACCTTTTACATGCAGAAGCAAAAGTCTAAGGTAATATCGTTCTGGTTCTCTAAAGCTCACAGTGAACAGTCTACCTAATACTTTATTCCCACCCTTTCGGCGTTTTGTCCACAAAGAATTATTAAACACATAATGCTGTGGAATCTCCCAATAATAATAATTACATGCATCAGAGTCTTCTCTATTCAATAAGAACCAAGCCATCAAAGTTGAGTTATGCCTTTTAGCCCTATCTAAAACTTCAGCAAAATCATCTGCATGAAAATATAAATTCTGATCATTTGGCAAATGAATAGCTAATCTTGTGGTTGCATGAGATTGGTCATGCATTTGCATTCCAAAAAGTCTCCAAACAGCCTCAGGAGCGCTCACATACCTGGAGTCAATGAAGTCCTGTACTTCGTCATGATTGATAATATTTTTTTCAGAAATTTGAATATTTGCACAGCCGTGCCCTTATAGATGTATTTAAATAGATATTTGACACTTCCAATTGATGCACAGACTGCAACATTTATATGACAGTTATACTTGATGCACAAATACGGGTTATAAGGGACAATCCAAGTATTATCGACAATTTTATTTCCAATGGAAATGGTGCTACCAGATCTTCGTTTGTATTTGGGATGTCCATCAATATTTCCAATGGTCGCACTTTGAAATTCTTTTGGATATCCCTTTGAACATTTTCCATTTTCCATACATGGACTACTTGGATTTTGCATTCCACATGGTCCATGTACCATATTTGATTTTACAATTTGAAAAAGTCGAGGACACTGGTTGTCATCTGGAATTTCTGCCTTACCTATATGGTCAATGTCATCTTCTGAACGTAATTTGTTCTCCTTATCTAATATCAATAATATGTGAGCGTGAGGCAGTCTGCGTTTCTGAAATTCAATGACATGAATCTTAGCTATTACTTTGCCAAATAAATGGAATTTACATATATCATTTAAAAGAGCGTTCAGCTTAATATTAAAAACTCTGGCTACCAAGTCAGGTCTGTTTTCAACTTTTTTCTTTTTAAACATATTTTATTGATTTTTTTACAGAGAGGAAGGGAGAGGGATAGAGTTAGAAACATCGATGAAAGAGAAATATCTACCTGCTGCCTCCTGCACACCCCCTA